GTCCATCACAGGAGGGGGGCAGGAGGACCATAAGAGCCAGAGGGGAAAGATGTCTCTAGGAAAAGCGTTTGTCAAACATGGTGGCTGCATGGCATACATGAACTCACAGCACATGGAACCACATGCACAGACCAAGCCAGCATGGATGAAGAAGGGGTTCATAGACTTCCACCCCGTCCAGGCAGCTGTTGACAGTTGGTACTGTAAGGGAAGGAAAGCCACTTTTCTTCAGGGATGGAGTCCCTGAAGATACCCATCCTCTACTGCATGGTCCCACACCATGCACACACAGACACCACTGAATGGACTGTGTGTGTGTGTGTGTGTGTGTGTGTGTGTGTGTGTGTGTGTGTGTAAGAGCACATGACACTGGGAGGGGGAAACGGTGGAGGGATAGGGGAGAAATTGGAGGGAAGGAAGGGAATGGGGGATCAATTTGTCTCAAACAGATTATATACATCTGTAAGGAGTATGGTTTTTCCACCCTCCGCCTGGTCTTGTCCCGCCGCACCAGCCCCAAATAACACACTGAGACTCTGTATTTGATATAATCTGTTGGCCAGTTACTAGTTTCTTATCGGCTAGTTCTGTCTTAACTATTAACCCATTTTTGCTGATCTATGTATTTTTTACGTGGTCTTACCAGCAAGAGGTGGCTGGCAGTTCTGCCTTCTCCAGACTCTCCATCTTGACCCCTCCTTACGCCTTCCTCTTTCCTCCTCATCTCCTAGTCCCTCCTATCTTCCTTTCCTATTGGCCAGCAGTGATTTATTCATTAACCAATATGAGAAACATTTACAGAATGGCATCTCCCATCATATACCCATAAATATTAAAATACTTTTTAAAAGTAAGGACCTAAAAAAAAAATCATTGATCTTGCAAATACCATAAGTTGCTGGGGTCTGGGCAAACTCAAGGAGAAGTAGAAAAATAAAAATGCAGTGCAAAACCAAGTAATTCATCTAAAAAATGCCATACTTTTACATTTTCATCCTTTTATCCTTAACTAAAAATAAATTGATGAAATACAGCATGTTAGCAGAATAAAGAAAAATTATAAGATTATTATAATAGACACAGGAAAAGCTGTGACAAAATTCAGCAACAATTAAAGAAAAAAAACAAAACAAAACAGAAAACTAAAAATAAAGGGAAATGTCTTCATCCTCGAAAAGCAACTACAGCCAGGCAGTGGTGGTGCAGGCCTTTGATCCCAGTACTCAGGAGGCAAAGACAGTAGGGTCTCTGAGTTCAAGTCCAGCCTGGTCTTCCAGGGCAGCCATGGCTATACAAAGAAACCTTGTCTTGGGGAGTGGGGAGGAATCTTTGGCAACCCCACAGCTTGCAGCATCTGTAATAAACTGAAGGATTCCCTCTTACATCTTAGCAAGAAGAATAACCAGCTTCCAGATCTTCTGTGTCTTATTATTTCTTAGACATTTTGCAATAAGACAAAAAAAATTTAAGTTAAGAAAGCAAATCTCTGCTTCAAATGACAGTTATTTACATAGAAACTCCTAAAGGACCATTACAAGTAATGAATGAGCACAGCAAGTTTATAGGATACAACAGCAAACATGAAAGATGCATCAGTTAGATTTCTATGTTCAGTACAATTGAGAGAACAAAAATAATTCTTTAGGATAAATTCATAAAGTACATGCAAGATCTTTGTACTATAGCAACTGTGTGTGTGTGTGTGTGTGTGTGTGTGTGTGTGTGTGCAGAGATAGACCTCATTCATGAATCATCAAAATGCTGCCTCTTCTCAAAACTGGTTGTCACAGTCTGAATCAAGAAAACAGACCTTTTCTGTGTCTATTTTTTAAAATGTCTGCCTTAAAAACAACAGTTCTTTGATTTTTTAAAATGGAAACAACTTACTATATGCAAGGAAATTATGAAAAAGCTAACTTGTAAACCTTTTATTTCTTGACTTCAAGACCTATAAATCACTTTAAATGCTTTTTTATTGGCATAACAACTGGATAAATAGTGAGCAAAATAAAAATTCCTGAAGTAAATGCATTTTGCTTTCTGTCTCAATACATGGCATTAGAAAAAGGCGGATATCCTTTTGAACAAAGTGAACCTGAAGTCTGATTTGCACTGTAAAGAAATAAACTAGATCTACACCACACAGACCCAATTATGCAAACTAGGGGAGAGACAAAACACATAACCTTGAAAGCATCAATAATTTCTTAATGTACAAAGGGAATCAAACATTACAAACGGGAGAAATGGAATTTACCAAAACTAAAAATTAGTCAGAAAACATTTTCAAAACCAAATGGGTATGCCAGAGATGAAAAACTGATATGTAAAATACGTGTCTAGGAAAGGACTACGCCTCAATAATAGGGGTCAATTTGTGTGTGTGTGCATTGTGTGTGTTGTGTGTGTTTGCACATGCCTCCATGTGGGATCCAGAGGTCAACATTGGGTGTCTGAGTTGCTCTATCGTATTTTTTGAGGCAACAGCTCTCACTCAACCTGGAGCTCACTGATTTGGCTGGGAAGACTGAGTGGCTAGTTAGCTCCACCTATCCCCACCTGCCCAGGGGTGCTGAGATTTCAAATATATGCCACCATGCTCATCTGTGTGTGTGTGCGTGCATGCGTGCGTGCGTGTGTGTTGGAGCTCTGAACTCTAGTCATCACTCCTGTGTGATGAAGACTTTACTGACCCATCTTCCCAGCCCCAAGACCGATTCTCTAATTGGGCAAACTACTCCAACCATTTACAAAGGGATACAAATGTCCAATATACTAGGTGTCCAGAAAACACAAAACCCCAATGAGATAAGTTTATATGCCAGATATACAATGGGCGTAAAACAAACTAAAATGGCGGGTACTGCCAAGTTTCTATAAGGATGTGGACACTGCATTGTGAGGTCAGGCACTAAATACATCCTTACCTATGACTCAGCACTTCACCAATAGTTGTTTGCCCAAAAGGTAAGAACATATCCACAAACCATTGATAGGAATGTTGATAACAGTTTTTTAATCGAATTCATGTTTCCTAACAGTTTTATTTACGATAATGGTATTTTCTCACATTCCTGGTTTCTGTCACAAAGCATGAATGAAAAAATGGCATAGCCAAACAAGGAAGAGCCAATAAAACAAAACGATGACTAGGACGTGTGACATTATTTGCTTCATAAACACACAAGATACATGATTATGTCTCTTGTGAATCCGGAGACTCAAATCGGCAAAACCTGGTTTTATAAAGGAGAATTAATCCAGGGTAGGAAAAACAAACAAACAAAACAAAACAAAACAAAAAAAAAAAAAAAAAAAAAAACCCGGCAGGCCCATGGTTACCTCTGCAGTAATGTGGGTGAGGATTTTATGGAAAGATATTTGCAGCAGCTTTGATCAGTTAATGGCACTTAGATGATGGGGGAGGTAGACCATTGTTTGGCCCCCAGAGATGTATGTATTTGTCAGAAGCCATCTAATGGTACATTTACATGTCATTTGTGCAAATTTTACCACAAAAGCAAATGGAACGCTTAATAAGACCAGCACTGGGTGGAGATGGGGTGAAGTGTGGCAATGTCTACATTCTTTCAAAACACATCCTAACCGAATGGGTTGATAAACAGAGAGGGACAGATAGGTATTTTTTATTATCAAGTTTAGTAAACTGTCACTTGTAAATCTGGTTGTCGATGTGTGGTATCACTGTGAAATTCATTCAGTTCTAATGTTCTTGAAATGGTTCTTAAACTAGCAAAGGTAATTGGGATACTCACCCTGGGTGTGTACAGTCCCCTGCTAAAGTTCCTCCTCTCCAGGAGACACAATGCAAGATGAATCGCCAGAGTTACTTTCATCAAACTCATTTGCATCCACTCCACAGAACTGCAAGCCTTTCTAGTTCTGTTTCTGGCGAGCATCGTGGGTGGGTCTCCTGGGACCACTCTCTCCATAGGCGGAGAAATTCTATTTAAGATCGCGGGTGGCTGTGAATCCATTCCTCCAGGCAGACACATTCGCTTCCCGATGCGGTAGTCAGTGTGCTAATAGATAACCAGCTGGGGACCAGGTGTGTCTAAAGGGCACACAGCGCCCTCTTCTGGCCCGAGAGAGACCCATGCAGTCCATCGAGGCTCTCGACCTTGCCATTAAGCAACCACTCCAGGCATCCTCACCCTTGTGTGGGAGCATCACTGCTCCGAGGTTGGCCTTCAGAGCTTCCGGCGAGTGCCGGCAGAGACCAGCGCAGGAGACTGGCTCTGGGCTGGAGAGGCGGACACCGGGTGGAGTCACCGCGATTGGCAACATCAGGGCTCCACCTGTTGCAACGTTCGAGCCACCCCGCAGAAAGGGCTGCATGGGGCACCGACCTCTGCTCCTAGCCCCACTGGGCAGGGCAGGGCCGCTTGAGAAGGGGAGCCAGGGACCATCCTGAACCTATCCCACAGAAAAGGTGCGTTTGTGGGGGAGGAAGGTAAGACCAGAGCGCAGCGGTGGCTCATGCGCGCGGGTTGCAAGTTGGGGTCTTAGGGTGGGTTCCCCAGCGATTCCCTGGAGAGCCTTGCTGCTGGCTTGCTTACTGGAGCTAGGAGCACTCGGCGCCGAGCCCTCGGCTGCGCAAGAACTACGGAGCAGAGGCAATCAAGCCCGGGTAGAAGAGATGGGACTCTCCTGGCCGCTGTCCTTGGCTGGATCTCCGAGGGATGGGCTGGCAGGGCTGGCACGTGGCGACAGAGAACGCCCTGTGAAGGGCCTAAAGGCCGAGGGTGCTCTGGTTAGGGGGAAGTCGAGGAAGGCTGCCTGGGAGGATGCTCCTAACTTCCTTCACTGTTCCAACCTCCCCCTCTGTTCTCCTCCCCAGCGGTCCGCCCTCGTGCTGCCGGGGAGCCTGTGTGCCTGGCGGACATCCGAGCCGGCAGCAGATCAGATCTGCCTCTCCGCACTGTCCCTGAGTCCGTGCCTGCCCCAAATCCGTCCCAGCCCCTCAACCTGGGTGATTCAAGAGGATAGAGGCTTGTCAGGACCCTAATACGCACGGCAGATCGATCTGGAGAGGCGCGGAAGACCGCGGACACAGCTTGGAAAGCATTGGTCCGAGGAACCCGGACCTTGATGCTCACCTTACCCGCCGATTCTGTCTGAACCCACGGCCTTTTCTTCACGATGAATTCAAGTTCTCTGGAGTTTGCCTTGAAGGCGCGCCACGCCCCCTCCCCAATCTGAGCTGGATCAGGAGGCCGGGTGAATCCCGGGGCGCTCGCACCCTCGTACCGACTGCGCCCCATGCTCTGATCTTCAGCCTTAAGGAGAACTCCAGGGCGGACCGGGAGGCGGCGGGGACAAAGCGGATTCGAAACCACGAGTCCGGGCTGGGGAGCGGGCGCCGCAGGAACAGCCAGGGCGGCAGCCTGGGGATCCACGCCGCCTGGGGGAGCGCGCGGCAGGCATGGGAGAGTCGGCGCCAGGAGCGGGCTAAGGGCCGCTAGAGCCGGATCCTCCCGGGGCGTGGGCACGAGTCCGCAGGCGGTGGCCCTTGCGGGATTGTCTTCCAGTGCCATGGCCGGCCGCGTGTGCAGCTGTGGCCCGGGCCACCTGAATGAGGACAACGCGCGCTTCCTGCTGCTCGCCGGGCTCATCTTGCTCTACCTGCTGGGCGGCGCCGCTGTCTTCTCAGCGCTGGAGCTGGCGCACGAGCTACAGACCAAGCAGCGCTGGGAAGAGCGCCTGGCCAACTTCAGCCGCAGTCACCACCTGAGCCGCGAAGAGCTCCGAGGCTTCCTCCGTCATTATGAGGAAGCCACCAGGGCGGGCATCCGCATGGACAGCGTGCGCCCTCGCTGGGACTTCACCGGTGCCTTCTACTTCGTGGGCACCGTGGTGTCCACCATAGGTAAGTGAGCCGGCTGGTCACTCGATGACTCTACTTCCTGGGCCCTCACAGGACCGAGCATCTCCGCCTTGGGATTCTCCACCTGGGCGCGCGGTGTTTGCATGAAAAGAGCCCTTTGGGGCTGATCAACAGGTGTGAATGGATCCCAGCTACACCTGGGAACTTAGAACATGACTCCAGACCTCTGCCCAGACCAGAACTAGCCACTGTTTCTTAGCCAATCCCCGGGAATTTGAATAATGCTTAAATTGAGGAAGCGCTTCTACAGACAGCCCATCTGGTTTAGGAGACAGGGCTGAGTTCGTGAATTCTATGTGGGGGGGGGGGGGCTTATACAGAGCTAGAAAGCATGGACCATTTCACTGAGTGTTGGCTATGCACAAGCCACAGCCCATAGGAAAAGTCCACGATTTCAAACTTACAGGGAGACTCTGGGAATTCCAAAGTGGAAAGAGGCAGAAGTGTAAAATGTAGCTCAAAGGAGCAGGGGACAAGGACGAACCAGGAGGAATGTGACCTGGGATCTAGCCAGTTTCTGCCTATGGTTGGAGTTTAGGGACTAAAGGGACACCTAGTGCATTCTGGAGCATAGGCGGCTTGCATCCAGAAGTTTCTGGCTGGCTGTGCTTGGGCTAAAGGAAGGACTCCTAGGAAGGCCTGCTGACTGAGGAGATGGAGCTGGGATAAGAAGTTAGAACTCCCCAGATGGCATCGGAGCCCCTGAACTCTGAGAATGGTGTGGCATGCTACACCAAGTGATTCCGTTATTCCTCTGCAGAACGAGGCGGGGAAATGGGGGATCTGTGTAGCACACTCCCAAGACTGTTCGCTTTTAGCTGAGTAATGAATGGGTTGGAGAATGTAATGTGTGATGTGGAGATCCTGGGGAAAGAGGCCTGTGGGGGAGGGGAGGACTCTGAGCGGCTGGAGGAGGAAAGGAAGTGAAGGAGCGCATGGCGTGTGTGCTGGGGCCCTGCACCCTCTAGAAGGGCTTGCCAGTGGCACGGGTGACAGATGAACCACCTTGAAGTGTCATGTAGACATTCTGCCAGAGGGAAGGGACCCTCTAGCAGGAGCCTCAAGCCATAGATGGAATGAGCCAGGAAAGACCTTCCGAGGTTAGCCAGGAACCATGAGTTCAGCTGGCCAGCAAATGGCACGGCAGAAAGGACTTGTATGACAAGGGACACAACAGCTGTACTCGAGAGCTTTGTGCTAGGCGATCCAGCTCAGAAGCCCTTGCCATTCGGCATTTTGCCCGTCAGAGGTCCACTGTCAGTCATTTAGAAAGAGGAACCATTTTCATCTCTGCAGTTTCATATTTGGGGCCTTTTCAAGTGCTGTTTTCCCCTCGTGCCTGTGCCGAGAACATTTTTCCCACCCAGATCCCGAGATCAACTGCTCTCCGTTTCCAGGCACAGCAGGAGTTTCTGCTGCACTTTAAGATGCCTTTCTGTGGGAACAATGGCAGGTGCACCTTAGAGTGTTCTAGATGAGGAACAGCCCGTGGGCGTGGGGAGCAGGAGCTGGGAGCGGCCAGTGAAAGTCTGGGCCCACTCAAGAGAGGGCAAGCGGCTCACTCCTCTGTGGCACACCGACTAAGATTTCACAGGGATGCTCGGCCGGTCTAGGAGAAGCCTGGATCTCAGCAGCTACTCGTCTCCTACCAGGGCATTTTCAGGGTTGTGGCATCCAAGTCCTGTCCAGGACACAGTTCTCACACTTACTACCCCTTGTTCCAGTCCTTTCTTTCCAGTGTTCGCCTGAGCCTGTTGCATCCAGTTGCCTTCTTTACAATAATAGAAATTCTAGCCTGTTGTCTCTTCCTTTCCACGCCCCTCTCTGCACAGAAGAGGGTCTGATGTGGCTGTAACCCCAAATAATTCTCGCAGTCCTGTGTAAAAGTAGCTCTTTTCAAGAGGACTGGTCTGATAGCCAAAGCAATGAAAATCTAAATTCAATGTTCCCTTGTCTCTTTAAGGGAACTTAAAATTGGCCCATTATATCACAAGGAAATGCCCCTCTCTTCCCTTGTGACTGGGGCTCCTCATCCCAGGTTTTCCCAGACACCACGAGCCTTCTGCCACCCTGTCCTTGCTGGCCCCCTCTTCCTGTCTCTTTTTGCTCTGTTACCAAAGTAGACATGACCTCTCCTGGTTCTTTGAGCTTACTCATTTAACCAATGATCTGGAGTCTCCAAAATACAGGACAGTCCCATGAGGTGACCAGCATCAATCCTGTCCCCTTCACGGCCCAGAGGGAAATGAGGGAGACGATGGTGGCTATGTGGCTTCAGCCTGTGGGAAGGACACTGCTTGGTTCCGATGTGGAAGCACCCAGTCCAGCTAAAGACGAGAAGCACCTGCCGGCAGGACGCTCCTCTTTCCCGACACTCTGGTCCTCCCTCTCCTTCCCTCCCTCCACCACCGTCCCCCCCCTTCCTACCCCTCCCTCCAGCCCTGTTTCCTTCTGAGTTGCCAGGCATCTCTCCAATGCTGCTTCTTCAGAACCCCATTGCACCCTTCCCCTGCTCTTCCAGAAGGCCATCTTTGGAAGCCTAATTAAGCCCATGGGGTTCTTGGTCCTGACGTCTGGCCACATCTGCTTCTGTTTTATTGATCATTTCTCCTTGAGGGGATGAGGACACTCATAGTCAGTGACCAGAAATCAGACCATGAGTGGAAATGAGTATAACTTGAGGTGCAGGGCATTGGGGGGCAACTGAGCCCCAACAAGGCGTTCCCAGTCTAGCTTTCAGATGCCACCCTGTAGGTCAGGCAGCTGTAAGGGTTTGCAGTCCCCAGATGAACTTGGGTCACGAGGGAGAGAGAGAGAGAGAAAGAGAGAGTTCTGGGCTTCCTGCCCTTGGGACAGGATAATGAGAGGCCTTTCCTACTTCTGCAGCCTCTTGATGTTACAGGTTACTCTAGTCCAAGTCACACAGTATTCGTGGTCACTTTGGAGGGAGACATATTTCCTGTTTGTGGGGACACTTCCTCCTGAGACTGGGAGATGCGTTCTGTCAGCTCTTCTGACCATCACACACCATGCTGCTCCTTCTTTCCTTTAATGTGGTGCCCCATGGGTCTCCTTGAGACTTACGTGCGTCTCCATGAATGTGGAGTCTTTAGCCGTCCTCTGAGGGCTAAGCAGAGACCCGGTAACGCTGACTCCAGGCTCCTGTGAAAAGCAAGGTATCCCAAGGCTCAGAGAGCTTCTTCGCTGGGTTGGAAGTGGCTCATCTGGAGGTGAGGTGGCAAACTAGCACTTAGAACTGTCCCCTGTGCCTCTTTTCCCTTGAGGCCTTTTTGTAGAAAGAGCTGACCACCTCCCATTAGATACTGCATCCCCTTTCCTCAGTTGTGATGGTTTTTAGATGCCCTAAAATAAGATAGAGACAGTCTGGCTTTGAGATTCATCAGTGTCTGCTAGTACAAGGCAAGGTCTGAGTGAGACCTGCCGTGTAGACAAAGACTGATACCTCCCAGCATCGTGTTTCACAGTCCTCGCCAACTAAACATCTCCCCGATTACCATGATGGTTGACAATGTCTGTCCACTGTCCCCAGCAGATCCCAAAGTCACTTCCTGACCTTTCCGGTTAGCTCTTAGAACATTGGTACCCAGCTTTTCTGTGTCTTGGGTTTTCCGTCAGATCAAGTAGCTGGTGACTAACACAGTGGCACTGACCCAACCTACTGACCACTGAAGTAGTTTTCAAACTGTCCTGAGGAGTTCATGGAGTACGCTATGCTGTGTTAAGGTGATTCTTCAAGGCTAAGGGCTCCCTTTGTGATGGGATGTCAGGAAGCTGTACTCTCTCTCTTTCTCATGAATGCACACATACACGTGTATATGAGAGAGAAAGAGAGAGAGTAAATTAATTTGATGAACGTTTATCCCATTCAGCTACCTTCTTACTGACTTGTTTTTGGGGGTTTTATTTTTTGTGTGTAGGAAAAAAATACTTATTTGATTGACAGGGTATTTTTCCTAACTCACATCCTTTCCATGGCTAAGATAAATATTCTCGCCCATTCTCTCTGTAGCTGTTTAACTCATTTCAAATGTTATTCAGAAACATTGCTTTTTAAAGGTTCTGTGAGGTTGGCACTATAATTATGCTTTGATTTATTGCTAAAATTATCACATAATGATCCGAGAATGTGCATGTTGTACAATCCTCTGTTTTCTTCTTTGAACATTTCTTTGTGTCCTGGAGCCTGTATGTATTCGAGCCAGTTTTCCACTGTGTCACAGATTTGTGGAGCTGGAAGGAACATTGACCCCCCCCCCCTTCTCATAACCACACCAAAGACAACATTTTACTGTGTTTTGGGGCATCTAAAGTCATCAGATTTTTTTTTTTGGTCAGTAACTCCGTCATTTGCTCATCTTCGACAGAGTTAACTTCATTCCTCTCTTCATGCTTTATGTGCCGATGGCCATTTTAAACATCTGAATGTGGGGTTGAAGTTCTGCGCCTGTTTGTTGACTTTTAAACCGTTTCTCTAGTTGTAAACACCAGTAGTTTTTAAGTGACCTCCTAGCCTGTTTTTGTACTTATCTCTAACTAGCTCTATGTTTCTCTATGTGTGTGAAAACTTGGCATGTTTCCTACCTGCTTTCCTCTCTATTGTCCTCCTTCATTCTGTCCATCCCTGCTCTGCTTCTCAACGCTGATGATGTACTTCTTTTGGCTGTTCTAAACATGATCAAGACACAACTCAACTACCTGGGGCCCAAAAGCCATCTCTATCACCATTCTTCATGTTTGTAAACAAAACTGGCATGACTTTTCTGGACAAGGCAGAACCCCCCCGCATTGTGTCTCATACCCTTCAGAGAAAGTATTCACAGCCCTCCAGGTACCCTCATATCTAATAGCCAGGAATCCATCTTTTCGTGACCTTCCCCTCCATCCTGCTCTTGACGACCTTTCCCAGCACCATCCCTTTCTTTCCTTCTCCCCACCTCCTCCTTCCTCCTTCCCTTCACTGA